AACAGGTCTTCAGGAGAGATTAATCTAAATCGAGAGTACAATGCGTTTTTACAAAGAGTCATCTGTAACAACACGGTGGTGGCGCTGTCATGGTTTGGGACTACATTTTAGAGAGTGGTGTATGGGATTTTGTTAAATCTGACAGAATTATAAAAATAGAAATGTACCATCAGATTTTAGAATTGTACAAAATCTGTTCTTGCCTTATCTACTGCGCCTCTGTCAGTGCGCCACAGGGCAGCTGTGGCTACAATGTAGCTTGCCATTGCCAGTGTGTGAATGTGTGTGAATGGGTGAATGACTGAATGTAGTGTAAAGTGCTTTGGGGTCCTTAGGGACTGAGTAAAGCGCTATACAAATGCAGGCCATTTACCATTTTACCATTTACTGTATTTCCAAAAAAAAGTAGATAAAAATATAAAAAATGAGAGGTGTCTGAAGACTTTTGCACAGTATTATATGTTAGTTATATGATACAAGAGCAGGGGTGGACATAAGTGGTCCGCAGGTGCGCATGCGCTGTCAAAATAAAAAACACGCACCAGATAAGAAGTTGTCCGCTAAAGTAGGATTTTCACGGCATATTCTGCACCACATCTCCGTGCGTTCATCATTTGTTTGAAGCCAGCTCACCTCCTGCAACCACTTTTCCGAGAATACACGCTTGTTTTGCGGTTCGGACTCCTTCTGACATTTCTTTAGAGGTGGAGGATCACCAAAGTAATTGCTTAAAGGAGCTTGCTTCTTCGACATCTTTAAGAGTTCTAAACAAATGTCTGTCTTCCTCCAGAAAATCTTATGTATGCAAACGCGCGTTGCAACTTCTTATCTGGTGCGGGTCTTTTATTTTGAGAGCGCATGCGCACCTGCGGACCACTTATGTGCAGCCATGTACAAGAGTATAGTTTGAATAATTGTGTTAATTCCCACTGAGCCAAACTTGATTTTTTTAAGATGGCAGATACCCTACTTTGCTCAGGTGGTGACAATAGAGCCTGTACCATGCACAGAAAAAGAGTATAATTCAAAGCTGATGGCACCCAGACCTTGAGATTAGATTATTTCTCTACACGAATGCGGTATCTGATGCTTTATACCTTGAATACTGAAAATGTGACATCAGTTTCATGTGGAAATACATTTTAAACAAACAGATCATAGTAAAGGCTGCACACCATGAGAGAGAAACACAAAAAAAAATCAAGATCAATCAAAAAATTGTGTTTGAAGAAAATCAAGACAAGCCTTTTTCCTAGACTTCACTTACAGTAGGGCAAAAAAGTATTTAGTCAGCCACCGATTGTGCAAGTTACCCCACCTAAAATGATGACAGAGGTCAGTAATTTGCACCAGAGGTACACTTCAACTGTGAGAGACAGAATGTGAAAAAAAAATCCATGAATCCACATGGTAGGATTTGTAAAGAATTTATTCGTAAATCAGGGTGGAAAATAAGTATTTGGTCAATAACAAAAATACAACTCAATACTTTGTAACATAACCTTTGTTGGCAATAACAGAGGTCAAACGTTTACTATAGGTCTTTACCAGGTTTGCACACACAGTAGCTGGTATTTTGGCCCATTCCTCCATGCAGATCTTCTCGAGAGCAGTGATGTTTTGGGGCTGTCGCCGAGCAACACGGACTTTCAACTCCCGCCACAGATTTTCTATGGGGTTGAGGTCTGGAGACTGGCTAGGCCACTCCAGGACTTTCAAATGCTTCTTACGGAGCCACTCCTTTGTTGCCCGGGCGGTGTGTTTTGGATCATTGTCATGTTGGAAGACCCAGCCTCGTTTCATCTTCAAAGTTCTCACTGATGGAAGGAGGTTTTGGCTCAAAATCTCACGATACATGGCCCCATTCATTCTGTCCTTAACACGGATCAGTCGTCCTGTCCCCTTGGCAGAAAAACAGCCCCATAGCATGATGTTTCCACCCCCATGCTTCACAGTAGGTATGGTGTTCTTGGGATGCAACTCAGTATTCTTCTTCCTCCAAACACGACGAGTTGAGTTTATACCAAAAAGTTCTACTTTGGTTTCATCTGACCACATGACATTCTCCCAATCCTCTGCTGTATCATCCATGTGCTCTCTGGCAAACTTCAGACGGGCCTGGACATGCACTGGCTTCAGCAGCGGAACACGTCTGGCACTGCGGGATTTGATTCCCTGCCGTTGTAGTGTGTTACTGATGGTGACCTTTGTTACTTTGGTCCCAGCTCTCTGCAGGTCATTCACCAGGTCCCCCCGTGTGGTTCTGGGATCTTTGCTCACCGTTCTCATGATCATTTTGACCCCACGGGATGAGATCTTGCGTGGAGCCCCAGATCGAGGGAGATTATCAGTGGTCTTGTATGTCTTCCATTTTCTGATGATTGCTCCCACAGTTGATTTTTTCACACCAAGCTGCTTGCCTATTGTAGATTCACTCTTCCCAGTCTGGTGCAGGTCTACAATACTTTTCCTGGTGTCCTTCGAAAGCTCTTTGGTCTTGGCCATGGCGGAGTTTGGAGTCTGACTGTTTGAGGCTGTGGACAGGTGTCTTTTATACAGATGATGAGTTCAAACAGGTGCCATTCATACAGGTAACGAGTGGGGGACAGAAAAGCTTCTTACAGAAGACGTTACAGGTCTGTGAGAGCCAGAGATTTTCCTTGTTTGAGGTGACCAAATACTTATTTTCCACCCTGATTTACGAATAAATTCTTTACAAATCCTACCATGTGGATTCATGGATTTTTTTTTCACATTCTGTCTCTCACAGTTGAAGTGTACCTCTGGTGCAAATTACTGACCTCTGTCATCATTTTAGGTGGGGGAACTTGCACAATCGGTGGCTGACTAAATATTTTTTTGCCCCACTGTATACTTCAGAGAAGTGATAGTCGGTGAGTTAAACCCTGGTGATCAGGAAGCTGCTTTTACAACCAGTCAGCCAAGTTTCAGGATTTCCCAGTTTGGAAACTGTGCTGCCCCATTTCAGGTTGTGTGATGGACTCCCACAGGTACTCATTAGTATTGTTTACTTGTGTACCCAAAGGGGCCATGCTGTCTTCTAATCATTGATTTTACAACACCTTCTACACTCTGGCACCATTTCCCACACATCTGTGATCTTATGAAAAAAATATTCCAGGTCAACATTTCCACTGATCTATGTTTCAGTGTGAGAATGTGCATGCTAGCTGATGCTCAAATACAAGGAAAGAGTGAGGCATACAGGTATCCAGTTTACCCATAAAAGATAAAGTGCATTCCTATCAGTACTTTCCTGTCTGTCACTGCCAGGACAATCAGTTAGCTTCAGTATATATGCTTGTTACAAACAAGTTCAAGGTACAGCTACCAAAAGTATTGATTACTGCATATTTCAAGGAATAAAATCAACAACCTTCTTATTAGACCATGCCTGATATCCAAAAGCAAACCTTCCAGTCCACAGCTTTCTTCATGGCCAACTGAAGACACAGAGGGAGAACAGTAAATTTCGGAACCTGGATGGATGCTTCTTAGTATTTCAAGGTTTAGGTTTTCATGTTATGAAATATTTCTGAGATGAGTGTTTGTCATGGTGTTACTCTGTAACTAAAGGCTGTTTGGTAATCTGCCAAGTCTATTGTTAATGTTCTCAAAAGACACTGAATGAACTATTATAGATATAGATATTTGGATTTGTCCTCTAGATAATAAAAGACAAGGCATGATAATAGCAGAAGCTATATGTTAAGACAAATACTTTGATCCAGCTTAATAAGCATGCATTCTATGACTTATAAATCATTAATTAAGTCATTAGGTATACTTACAGACTCTTTGTAATGTTCTTTAAAAAACAAAAAAAAGTTCTGTTTAATAATTTAGAATTTAGCTTTTTTCCAGGTAACAATCTTCTGTGCCACAAAAATGCATTAATTTAGATTTTAAATATTAATACTATCAGCCAATATTTGGAAACTTCTATTTATTAAAAGCTAACTCACTTGACAACTCTCTATAAATAACGTATTTGCTACTACTTGTAATCCCTTTTATAAAGATCACATCCTTAGTAAGTTGTAGCATTTATACCAGGCGTACTTGTTTTCTTCCCCACAGACATGTATTCCCAGCATCTTTTGGTCGCCACATAAACGACTGATCAATCTTCAATAAATCAATTGAATATTACAACATATCACATTTTTGCAGTCTAGGCTCTATAAATACTTATATATTTTGTAAATTAGCTGGCAGTTTAGAAACATGGGCTTAAAATAATAATTATGTAAATATACATTGTGGTTTAATAAAGTATTATTTATTCCAAAGCAACGTTGTTGTTACCACACACAAAAAAATACTCATCCTGGCTAATCATCTTTACTCATTTCATTCATTTGACAAGACTTGCCATTTCCGAAAGTAAGTGAATGCAGCATAGAGCGGGACTGCGCGAGCACCCTCCTCCTTCCCCGCCCTCCCCTCCACTTCTCCTGCCTCTTGCGTGTGCCCGCCGGTAAGGGCACGCGCACGGGAGGTGGCGGGGGGTTGTGCTTGCTCCTGCTCTCTGACCCCAGTGGCAGCTTCGACTCACTGCACTCCGGCTCCCCCTCCGTCAGACCCAAGCTGTTCTCGCGCTCTCTCTATCTCTCTCTCTCTCCCCCTCTTGTCTGTCAGTGTCTCTCGTCCTTCTCTCTGGCTTTTACCCCCTCCGCTCTCTTCTTGTCTGGTTTCTTTCCACAGGAGCCAGCAGAGGTCCCGTCGGGTCGAAGGTTCTGCCCTATCTGCCGCAACCCCCGGACGGTCGTGTACGAACCTGCCCGCTCTACTGCTGCTGCTGCCGCATGGACCCACGTCTCTCCGCCGCCGCTGCCGCCGCCTCCTCCGCCGCCGCTGCGTAGAGGGCGACCCCGACCCGACACTATTTTCTCCGGCCACAAAAAACACGCACAAAAAAACCCCACACGACGAAGGTAGAACAACCTTTCCGCTTTTCTTTGAGAACCGAAAAGGGAAGGGAATAAGGGGGGAAAGAGAGGAGACTAGGAGGGGGGGAAAAAGCAACCCCTGACACAAAGCTGTCGGTTATAAGGTGGCTTGTCATTTACGAGGAAGAGCGAGAGGTTAGCGCGACGGTGTTGTGACACTGACCACCTTTGGGTGCTTTTAGTATCTCAGAAGCAGAGTTCAGGATTGCACGGACCTTTCTTTTTGTGTACGTTCCTGCAAGCGGCGGTGTTAATAGCGAGCGGCGCATAGAACGCATCGTTGTGTGAGCGTGTTATCAGAAAGGGTCAATTTATTCGCCTTCAACCCCTCCTCTGCTTACCGGAGTGATTTCTACTCCTGAAGTTAGCTATATGCTGGCTTACGAGCGCGCTACATATCCGAGGACTGCACCGACCATGTGTGCGCGCACCGACGTTACAGAAAAGCAGCTCAACGCGAAGCTACAGCGTGCATAATAATAATAAAAAAATCTATTGCCAGGGCAGGTTTAGCAGGCTAAGCTAGAGTGCTAGTTGCTACTACTGTAGCCATAAGGTAGAGATAGACAGACAGGCGAGTTTCGGCAGCCCGACACACATAGAAACACACACACACAAAATCAGAAGACTGTGAAGCATGCTGCACACAGATTTTCGGCCTACATTTGCAGAGAAAAAGCAAATTTCCCGAGTAACTGCAGCAGAAGCAGTACTAGGTTCAGATTTTTTAATGATTGCAGAGGAGGTGAAGTGTAGGACATCCGATAGGGCAGTTTTGTACAGAAGTGAGTTTTCTTTTCTTTTTTTTAATTTAAGGCCCAGGAAGATCAATACACTTGTTTCATGTGTAACAAGGATTTTAATGTGACTCTTTTTTTCCACACTTTGAAATGTAAAGAGTTGAGTGTGCAGTGGAGCTGCTTAGATTTTGCTCATGCATTTTTAATTTTTATTTATTTATTTTATTTTAAAAGTCTAGTTTAACCAGCTTTTTCTCGGCTGGCATATATCTTTTTGACTTAAATTTATAACGTGCATAATAGGAAGCAGGATGCAGCCGACCCAGAAAACATAAATCAATGCTTTAGTGAAAATAGGACATTTTCTTTAAAAAAAACAAACAAACAAAACAAAGTTTAAATTGGAGTCTTGTTTATCCAGCAGCTGCTTTTTTTGTTTTTATCTCACTTCTCCATCCAAGGATTTAACCATCATGTGAACTCTCGAGCTTTGTTGATTTCCCTCCAAAAGATATGACAGACTTGTTAAATTGAGGGCATTTTTTTCTCCCTCTTTCTTTTCTTTTCTTCTCTTGCTCATGGCTGCATCAGGAGGTCTGGTATAAAACGGCTGTCAAAGCCCACAGTGGCCACTTTACTATCAGTTAGGGAGGTCAGACAGGAGGGAGGCTCAGGGTGCAAGGAGACTCACAGCGGATCTGGTGAGTGAGCTCCAGGGATGCATCATAGCAGCATTTTCTTTTTAAGTCTTTGTTGTACAGTGGAGCAGAGATGCCATAGCATCTCATTAATTGCTATTGGATCCTTTCAAAATTGGAGCATGGATATGTTTTTGTGCTTGGCTTACAGTCAGTGGGGAAGGAGACCTCTTTGAAGCATGCATGCATTGTGAAGAATTTCTCATTTTATAGAAGCAATTGCAGCAATTCCTCACCAGCAGACATTCTGCCTGCAGCCTTTCTTTTTGTTTTGTTTTTTGTTGTTGTTTTTTAATTTGCTTGTAGTGATTGAAATTTTTTATTTTAATTTAATTTTTTTACATTTGAATATGTTTTCATTGAAGCTAATAAAGTGCTTTCCAGAGTAGAAATTGTTGCTTAAAAAGTCAGAGAAGAGTTTTTTGTAAACTTCACTCTTAAAAAATTCCCTTGCTGCTTTTAAAGGTAGAGTACATCTGCTAATTGTGTTTAAATTGCCTCATTGTATTTTTCTATTGAGGCTTGTGTTTGATGAGCTGTTTGAGGATTTTTTTTCTAGCAAATTTCAGGTGGTTTCTGTTCTCTGAAGCTGAATAAGACCGTACATGCCGTCACTGCATGCATGCGTGCTTTATCTTTAGTCTTTGCATTTGCATTCACTTTAAAATGTATAAGTCTAACCTGCGATATTTTTTTATTTTCTTATGCGAAGCCCTTGCTCGTGAGTGTATTCAGAAGAAAGTGCACGCCTTGTTAAAGCAGCTGGTGTGTGTGTGTGTCTCCTGTCGGTGCAGAGAGCAGTGTGTCGTGGTCGAGTCAGTCGGCTGGGTTGCTGCTGCTGCTGCAGGGAGGCTTCCTGGGCTTCTGGAGAGCAGCTCTGAAGGATGACCGCCGCACGGCTCGCTGCTGAATCTCGGTGAACGAACAGCATCTCATGTCCAAACTGTGGAAGGATGGCTCATGGCAAAGTGACCATCACTGTGGACGAGTACAGCTCCAACCCCACACAGGCCTTCACGCACTACAACATCAACCAGAGCCGCTTCCAGCCCCCACACGTCCACATGTAAGTTCACGCTCACACACGCACACAAATACACACACACAGTTGTTATGAGCTGGCAAAGTTAAATCAGAAAGAAATATTTCCTCTCTCTCCAAATGAATTTTATTTGTGATCTTTATTCCAAACTGAGTTGGTCACGAGGAACATTTAAATGACACATTGCAGCAGTGTCATTTATAAACCTGCACTTTCTGTGACATTTTAAACTAATTTCAGAATCATGCATACGCTTTAAGAACAATACAGGAAGCCAGCAGGTTTGATGCAGTCTCTGTTGTTCACTGAGTGTATGGTGGTGCGTGATGTAACGCAGTACAAATCATTCTTTGTGAATAAAAGTTTTAGCGGCAGTGAAGCACTGAACAAAAGCGCAGCATCTGCAGACTAGCACTGATTCTGTGCATCACACATACTTGCGCTGGTTTTTCTAACTTGTGGTGTTGTTTTATTTATTTATTTTTGTAATCTTTCTTGCGTGTGCTGTTGGTGCATACTGTTCACCGGTGTGTGCTGCGGTCTCGCTGTGAGACGGTTATCATTTGTGCCATGTTGTCATTGCGGTATGTGGATGCTTTGTCTGCATTAAGGCGCTCTCCTTAGTTATTTATTAGACCAGTTACTTAGTGTTGCTCTTGTCTGATGTGGTTATGCTGCTCCTCTCATTAGTGGGTCAGAGCGCTGTGACCCATCAACCCTCGACACACACCCTCACACACAAACACACTTTACAACGCTGTGTTTTAGCTGTGACCAGATATTAACAGAGCTGCAGCTCACTTTGTGTCTTCTTCCAATTAGAGCAGTTGTGAGATTTTTCCAAAAGGTTGTTGACTGCTGGTTTTGTGTACACTGCGTGCTCATGACATTTATTCTCTGTGTATGTTGTGAAGTTAACCTGCAGCAGGGCCAGGAAGAGATTGAAGAGCCTGTTTGTAGTTTCCATCATCGCTGTAATGGAGTTGTTTGTCATTTCTTTCTTTTCTCCTGTTTTCTTTTTCATTTTTTTGCCTTTACGTGTGCATTTATTTATGGGGAAAAGCACAGCCCATCAATTTATTTTCTTTTTTTCTACATCGTGAGCGGAACACACGGGGATAAATGCAATTTATGCCCGAAATAAACATTGTAGAGCAGTGCCGATGGTGACGCTGCTTTGAATTTTTGAAAGTCAAAACACCAAAATGTACAATAATGTGAGAAAATCCAGCCCACGCCAAAACATAGAGCGCTAACCAAAGCATTCTAATCTTTGTTGTAGACAGCTTTCACAGTGAGGTCTGTACAAATGTGCCGTTCCCAAGTCCTCACATATAATTACGTTGTTGGGGGTAAAATCACAGCAAAGCTCAAGGGTTTTTTCTCCTCCCAGCTTTCCTTGTTAGCACAGAAAATGGTAATTATAAAATTGTCAGTTTAGGCAATGTTATGGTAAAAAAAAAAAACCCAAAAAAACAACAACATATGATTGACTTGTGAGAATCCTTTCATTGCAGCATCTTCAAAATCACATCTTAGAGATCGCTGAGACGCTGTTCCAGAGAGCTGCAGAGCCACGATTAAAGATTTGTGCACACATGTTTGATCTTGTTGCGCAGTTACAGCGTTCTTAGATCACACTGAAATCAAAGGTGAAGCTGAAAAATCGGCAAATCAACGTATTAAGTGGAGTAACTACGTCACCTTGGTGTGTATGAAGCCAAATAAGAGGCCGGGAGAAGTCTTTGCTTTGGGCTGCAGATGCGGTGGTGGCACCGGGCTGAACCGAGATGGCAGCTGTTGGGATTGTCGTGCAGGACTGGAGTTTTTTTAAATTAATTAATTAATTTTGTATGTGAAGTGTGAGAGGCTGAGATAATGCAGATATGTAAACAATCATAAAGGAGATGTTTTTAGTCAGTCCAAGATCTTCAACAAACAGCTGCACTGTTTCACTTTAGGGAGCAGCAACATCTGGCAGACAAGTTTTTTTTGTTTTTTTTAAAATATCGTTTGCCTGAAACACTCAGTCCCACAATCCTGTGTGTGTGTGTGTGTGTGTGTGTGTGTGTGTGTGTGTGTGTGTGTGTGTGTGCATAATAATCACATTCATGTAAGCAGGATTATTTTTGGGAGATGGAGTATTGTAAACAGCTCAGTGGAGTTTTGCCTTCCTCTTGGTGTTGGCAGTGTTCTCACAATTGTGCCACTGTGTTGATTTGGGATTCCTCAGCTGCAAGTGGGGCTGCCAAGTACAGCAAGTGCCCGTGCTTCCGAGTGTGGTGAAAAGGGAGGCGACCTCACCTATCAGCTTGTGTTACATCAGTCCTGTTTTAATGGATCGCAAAGACAACATTAAAAATCAGAACAAATGCGTCGTCGTGAGTCTGGGTTAACACATGTCGAGCAGCACAGGATTCACCAGAACAGAGTCTGGTTTGATGTTTGGTGAGGCTTCCGCAGTCTTTGAAAAGGCAAATAATAGAACATCCACACAATTTTTTCTGTCTTTATAAAAATTTTAAAAAAACCAAAGAAAAACAAACACATCCTCTCTGAGGTAACATTTTTTCTGAAATACCATGGTTTATTTTTGGAATTATTATTTTCATGCTTCTTGAATTGACAGGGTTTGTTTTTGGTTCCCTGGGAAGTCTTACTATGGTTTCTCCCTGCCTTTTTATTTGCAGTGCTGCAGCAGTTGTGCATAAGTTGAGTTGTGAAAGCCTTACATAAAACATTTTTGGAAGAAAATGGAAAGAGGAGGAGGGGGAGAAAGCAAAGTAGGAAAAGGATGGATCTTCCTGATGTTTACAGGGAAACTTAAAAACATTTTCTAAAAGTGGATCATCATCTTCATTCGTCACCTGGAGACTGTTTTACTTTTATTCCAGACGATGACAAACGAGAACAGATGCAGCTGTAAGAAAGTCGTTATAAGGTGTATTTTTGGTGTTATTTTGTGAAAGAGGGTCTACGGTAGAAGTTTCAGTTCAGTGCAAGAGGAAAAGAGTGGAAAAAATGTAATAATATAGTGGTTGAAAACTTTGAGAATGTAATCTCAGTATTTATTCCTATAATCACTGTAATCAGGTTTTTGTTGTTGTTGTTCTTGTTGTATTTTTTGCTCATTGTGGGGTTGTTTTCTTTTGGGGGGGGGGGGGGGGGGGGTGTTTTAAGTCCAGTTTTCAGTGTGAATCTTTTTGGAGGTGAGGGGATGTGTTAAAGCCATGGGGCCTCTCAGCAGATATGTGTTTGGATAAATACATTAGGCTGTTTCCTGGCTTCCACAGAGCCTGCAGTGTTTTACCCTGTCATTCTTAAACTCGGTCTGGGAACCCTGAGATTACACGCGCTCACGCACACACACACAATCCTCCGAGCCCATCCCCCCACCCCCACCCCTGCTATGTTTAAGTGCTTATAGAATACGAGCTCTGTTCGAGGAAAGTAAAGGTTTGTTTAGATTTGGGAGATAATAATCCGACTTGCTCGCCGTTCTCTCACTGCATCTGCAGTATTTGGACATAAATAAAGTTGTTGCTTCTCTGCAAGCAGAGAGAGGGGTAGAGGCTGGGGGTGGGGGGTTGCCCGCCTTTTGAAATATAATCCTCGCTCTAATGTTTTTTTTCCCCTCCCGTCCTAGACAGAATATTTAGATTTCTCAGATGGAGTACAGCAGTGCCTTTTGTGTGGTGTGGAAGGTATCATTCCCTGACCCGCATATGAAAACATGAATGTAGAGCACGTAGAAAGTCACGCACGCACACAGTGGCGCTCATAAGCTGATGCTGTGGAACGTGACCCCGAAGTCAAAGTGGACTTTCTTCGGAGCATGGGACGCCCCTGCCTCTGTGTGAGTGAGCGACAGGCTCAGTCTGGCCCAGTTTGCGTCTGGTTTATTTTTCTGTGCCGACTGTGTTTCTTTTTTTTTTTTTTTTTTTCTCCTTTTAACTCCCTCTCCTCAGCCCCCTCGTCATCGTCTTGTGAAATGAAATGCTCAGCAACTTGGAACATATGCTTCGAGTTGGGACACTAATGACTTCGTATCCAATTTGGGCAGGATCTGGGCAAGACTGTGGGAAGGCCTGACACACAGGCACACGCAGACAGACAGGCAGAGCTGAAACTAAAAGGACTCCTGAAAAGCTCTTGAAAAACATTTACATTTCAGGATTTAATAAGACTTTAAATGATGTTACTGGACTTCGGGGGAAGGTTGGTGGCAAGTCATATCTCTTAACATTTTGACATAGACAGCTGAACTGGATTGCTCTTAACCTTTAATTTCTTCAGGTTCAAAGGGGAATTAAATCCTAGTTGTACTGCAAGAAATGATAATTTTTCCAATCAGTTACATGTTGATAGTGTTTTTTTATTGTTATTATTAATAACATGAAATTGTCAAAAATGTAAAAAGTGCCCAACAAAAAATCCTTACCTTTGCTTACTTTTATGCCTAAACCTAAGATTTCGTAATCACATTTTAAGCAGTGGAGTGTGCAGGTGAGACATGGAAAAAAAAACACCCAGCATAAAACACTGGAGGGAGAAACGCGATCCAGGCCCGCAATAACGAGGAGTTAATCAAGTGCACCGGATTAGATTGGGCAGAGATGATGTTGTTGGTGGTTGATCTTGATCGCAGATGCGTTGGCATTTCTCGCTCGATGATTTAACTGCATTACGCCATTAACGCCTTTGGAGTGTTAATTTATTTAATTCCCACTGGATGTGCCTGCCATGCAATCCAGCAAAACAGTGTCAGCGGAGAAAGCTTTCTCAATCACCACCAGGGTCGGTGATGGGAGACGTTTTTGTGTCATTAAAGATATAATCAGATTGAACAACATTATTTATCCATTCATGAGGAATAGCCGATTTAAATCTCGAATTTTATTCCTTGACTTGTGATATCTTCTTTCAGACCCAACCTGTAAGCCCCGTTAAATCATGTTTGTCATTACGGAACGAGTTTCCCTGCATGGATTCAGCATCACTAACAAGAATCATGCTGGGATTTTTAATGAAGGCCCAATGGCAGTGCCTCAGGGAGAAGAACCTACGCTGCAAAGTTCTTGTCCATTCCTCACTCTGAGTTTTTTAATGGCACCTGAAAAGGGACTCTGCTGAGTTAAGAGCAGTCGGAGCATTTTTAAAACCTCTGTGAATATGGACAATGGTGTTTTTGCCTTTTCCTCTCTTTTTATTTGCACAGTGAGCCCGTTGTACCCCTCAGCTTTTCTTTGTGTTTCAGGTTTAAAGTGTTCAGTTTTAACTTTTGTCACAAGAACATGTAAAACAAGCAAATCATTTCCCTTGCTATCCCATGGTTATTAAGTGGCAGATATAAACTTGACTTTCCCCACTACAACTGGATAATTTTTAAAAATGTATTGTTATTAGCTGATGCACCTAAATAAATAATCAAATAGAACCATTAGGAGCAGCCTGGAATTTATTCTTACATGTTATAATTTTTAGCATTTATTAGGATTTAAAGTGGTGTGTGTGTGTGTGTGTGTGTGTGTGTGTGTGTGTGTGCGTGAGAGTGTGTGTGTGTGAGAGAGAGAGAGAGAGAGATTGGAAAAAACAAATGTTGTTGCCGTCCAGAACATTTAAGCAATGGAGAGAAAAGATTTTTATATTGGCTTGTAATTCCTCGTGTACTTATATTTATTCAATTTCATCTTAATACAAAGCAGTGGAAATTACCTATGTCGATACTACCAGAAAAAATTATACTTTTAATCTGATAAATGAAAAGCTTTTCCTAAATTAAGGAAAATAAGAGTTGCATCCATCTATGTGTATGTTGTAAAATGTGGCAGGATTTTGAAGTGTTTTTCAAAATTTTGAGAAAGCCAAAATTTAAAAAAAGAATATAGCCAACCGGTACAGCTTCACACCCAAAAATCACTGGTGAATACAGAGATGCTCCACCCTCAAACGATGGTGAGGTTGTAGAGAACAGAGAGTCTTAAAATGTTTTCTTTTCCCTTGTGATGCTGGTGCTTTATTACTGTTTACTGTCTGTTAAAATCAGTTACTGGAGACACCTGAGCTCATTACATTGACTGCAATGCACAGAAATGGAATTTCCCCCGACCCCTCTACATGTGAAAAAATCTTCCACATTTAACAAAGTCCTTCTTCTCCACGTGCCTCGTTAATTATTCCTGCCCTGTGAATAATTGAGGAGATTGTAAGTATGAATCATTTACCGGTGCATCAATACACGTGGATATTCTGACACGAGCTGGTGAGGAAACGCCAAGAGAAGCACACGCACGGCTTTGACACTTTCATTTTCAGCACAGTCCTGGTTTTATTAATGAACTCCTGAAGGATTTTTTTATGTGCCATATTTCCTTTTTCTAGTCTGTTAGAGGAGAGCTGTAAAAGCAGCAGAGGAAATGGCTTTTGGAACTGGATTTGTGCACAGTGAGAGGAACTGTACCCGTTTCTGAGCCAATGCTGTCGTGTTTGCGTTTGGTGAAATTCAGCTTTTTTTGTCAGTCTGGGTAAATGAGTTGGCTCATTGCAAAGAGGGAGGTTGCTCAGTATGTAGAGTCACGTGACAGAAGAATCCTTTCGAGGTGGCAGGATGATAATTCAACAGGACGTTTCCATCTCCGAGTCAGTAATAGTAGCTTTTCCACCCATGTGACTCCACTTTTAACATGAAATGGACTGTGTCTCCATCCAGGAGATCCTGCTTTTCTTCGATCACGTTGTGGATAAACAAGTTAAACCTTGTTTACGCGAACCCTTCAACAGGGGGGTTGCTTTGAAGATGAAAAGGCTCACATAATTGGTGATATAATTGTTGAATAAATGTGTGATTTGTAAATAGAAAAGTTTTAAAGCTCCCTCCTTTTGTCTGATTTGTCAATGAGCACAGCACAACAAACACCTTCTCCTCAGAGCTTCAGTTGGTCATTGCAGACCAAAAGTAAAAACAGGAGAAAACAGAATGTTTCTGCTTTTGATTCATGTTTGTTTGAGTTCTTGAGACGAACCAGCCATTTAGAACAACAAGGCTCTGTAGTGTCACCACCATACCAGCACATTAACTTAATATTATAGTCAGGCTGCAGCTTGCAAAAATGTTGGAATGGATAACTGTTTACTATATTTGATGTATGTACATAAAGATTTGACAGTATATATGTATATAGATATGCAAAACGTATCAAAAATGTATATACAGCACACTTTAGTTCAGCTGTAGGTAGGGATGGGTATTGATAAGATTTTCACGATTCCGATTCCATTTTCGATTCTGTTTAACGATTCGATTCTTTATTGATTCTCTTATCGATTCTTTTTAAAAAAGGAGAACACTAAGGTCGATTAGCTTAGAACTTTGTTTTATATCTTCTCTTTGAACAAGATAATTTAGGAGTAACATGGCCTTACAAACCCAACAGTGAGATCTTAAGAGATCCTTAAGAGAGCCTACGACTCTTAAATGGGGTGTCACAGGGTCCCCAGGAAAAAAAATTGTAAATGTAAAATAATAAAATAAATATTCTTCTGTAGCAATAACAAAGTACAACACAAATTATTCTGTAGCAAATACACAAGAATATCCAGTAATGTCCCTGCCTACAATTAAACACATTCACTTACCGAAAATCAGGGGCATCTGCTGTGGGTGCATGCCTTTTACCACAAACTTAGTCACTCGGTGACATTTGTCTATCCTGGCCTGAAAGGAGCCGCCATGTTTCCTGCCAGGTAAATGACGCTCCGCAACATGGTGACGTCATTTGGGGGCGACTGGAATCGATAAGGGAATCGTTTGCAAAAATGGCAAACAATTCCAAGGAATTGAAACAGTGGGAACCGGTTCTCAACAAGAACTGGTTTTCGATACCCATCCCTAGCTGTAGGTACGGTGGATGTTTTAAGTGTTGGGTGGCACGGTATAGTTGTTAAGGAGACCTAATATGCTTGTCCATCCTTTGTCGTATGTTGTTGCAGCGGTGAATTTTCACATTAAATGCATTATGCAGTCATCTTATGTACAAATAACCTGCTGCTCAGTTTCAGGGTTTTTTTTCTACTCTCACCTATCTATTACGTCACAGAGCATGGATAGTCGTAATCTATTTAGCTAAGCAACACAATAAAGGCTATGAAGACAGAAGCCCCACCCCTTAATTTTTTTTCCATACACTGGATAAATAAATTGGTATTAATAAGGCTGCTCTGTTTAGAAATAATTACTCCTAAAATACACTTGCAACTGTTCTGGTCAATATTCAGGGTTTTGTTTGTTTGTTTGTTTGTTTGTTTTAAACACGAATCACAAATACTCATATTCCTTGGCTTAAAGGTAGATTCTGTGGTCTTGATATTGATTTGCTTTAATTGTATTTTAACTGAAATAATTAAGAAAACAGTGTGAGCTGAACAGGGTTTTAATAGTTTTGCAATTTTCATTAGTTTTTATTTTTATTTAGTTTTGACTTCAGATTTTCAATTTTATATCAGTTTTAATTAGTTTTTACCAATTGTTTGCTAGTTTAGTTTAGTTTTTATTTTTTTGAAAATCCTTAGTTTCAGTTTAGTTTTGATTAGTTTTAGTTATAGTTTTAGTTGTGTTTGCAATAATTAAGTGCAACAAAATCCCAGTTTCATCATATCAGTCATGCTCTTCTGCTTATCCTTGGGTATGTTGCTATTCCAGCTACCATACCCTGCACCCTGGACAGGTCGCCTGTCTGTCGCAGGGCTAACACGCAGAGACAGACAAATCACATTCCCACCTGTGGGTTCTTTAAATAAATAAATTAGGGCAGATGAACAACCATTGATACCAGGCAACTATAAAATTTATATCTTGGCCCCAATGAGACTATTAACTCTTGCAGCATCGGGTGTTCGTAATTTTGGTTCAAGTGAATTGATAAACTTTTTGAGGGCAATTGACTCACACAGTTATGTCGATATCCCCGTCCTGTTGTCTCGTGATGCATCACGCTAGCTTGCCTGGGGTTAGCTTCTGTTTTCTGGGGATGAGGGTTGAGTGTGCTCCCTTCTCAAGGTAAGCTAGGTTAGCCTTCTTGTGTGAACTTTTCAAGTGCACTTTAAGGTTTGTGGGATTTTTTTCCCCTTTAGAAATGTCCCTCATAATTTGTCTCTTTCCACTACAAGACACTTGCTTTATCCAAAACACAGTCATAATCAAAGTAATCCCAAATTGGACTCTGGCGCTTTCTCCTGATTTTTCCTGACATGATTCTGCGCGTGGACGGAGCAGTAACACAGACGACTCGACTAACGTACTGCCACCTGCTGGCATAATGAGACAGCAAGAAAAAAAATCTGGAAACTAAACTTCATTTTCACCCTTGACTATTGTAGGACACACACACATCTACGAAAACTAAACACATTTTTGCTATAAATTCAGTTAATTTTAGTTAGTTTTGTGAACACTCATTACAGTTTTAGTTAGTTTTCCTTTTTTTGTTTTTATTTTATTTATTTTATTTCCGTTAATGAAAATGTTTTTTCACTTCTAGTTTTCATTATTTCGTTAGTTTTCGTTAACGATAATAACCTTGGAGCTGAACTAAGGCTGCCAGCTTGGTGGGTAAAAAAAACTCTTATTGGACCAAATATGTTTAACCCTCGGATGGTCATAGTCAAAAAAGGGACCCTTTTGGGTCCCGATGAATGTAAAAGGGTGTAAATTTTGACGGCTATCCAAGGGTTAATTGTAGTGTTTCTTAAAGCAGCAGCTACACAGTCTGCTTTTCACTGGTGACTATTTCACTGCTGTTGTTGTAATGCTGTTATTTTTTATTAATTTGTAGTTCACCTACACCCTGAAGGTAAACCTCTTTCCAGAGTCTGTTCCTGCTTGTGGTTGTCTGGTTTAACCAAAAGTGTCTCCAGATGACAGATGATGATCCACCGTCAGGAACTAAAATATGTTCAAGATTTTGTTTTGTCTGATGTGAGGCGCTTGGTGTGAGGTTTCCCTGCTGCTTCTTCACCTTTGTTTATTTGGGTCACATGGTTGTGATTTAGATCGGTTGTAATGGCAATGCTAGCCCAGATTTAGATCTCTTTAATCTCTACCCACGCCTTCGATTTATTCATTGATTAGAAAAAACAGCAAAGAGAGTCAGATGTTTGGGTGGTGCAGTCATCTTTCTGATGCACTGGTCCCTTTCTACTTTACTCTAACAAGGAATGGTGACAAGTGAAAATGAGATGGACGTAGCTGTACAGGTTTGTGTCCTCCATCTCCCCAATTCAGTCAGTTTGACCTAGCAGTCTCTGTAGACTAGACTAAAAAAAACTGTTATTGAAATTATACATCAGGCCCTACTGAGAACAAATGGCTAAAATGAATGCATCAGCCTGAATAATAAGAAAGTGAAGAGCAATTCACTCGCATTATGAGACTATTGATTCGCCATAATCAGACTTTCCCAGAATTGAAAACGCCTCAGTAGCCTGTGTTCACGAGTCAGTGGCATATAAAGAGCTCCCAGCCTCATGTTTACCCCTGACCTCGGCATCCCTTCTTCTGTTTTAACCTCAAACAGTTTGTGGAGGAGCAGCAGTCACAGTCACAGCTCTCCTGAGAACAAAGCGCTAGTCGCGTTCGGTTGCCTTTTGTTTCTGTCGGCCTGCCACTGCTTGCCAGCAGGAGTGGAGGGGCTTTTGTAACAGGAGAACCCTCTGATTAAGTTCCCTCTCTACCCCTGACCTGCTGCTGGGGCCTGGCGGGATGGTGGTGGTGAGGGTTAAGTGACAGTTGACATTGGACAGGTCTCCTTTTCTTTCTTTCTTTTTTTTCCTTTTTGATGTCTTTGAGATTTTGGGCTATTCTTGCATGCTGGACCTGGCATCGCAGGGCACAATCGCTTGATAATGTCACGTCATCTTTAACATGAAGCACGCTCAGCCTGCAGCTTCTCAATGTGACAAGTCGTCCGTTTATGCAGTTTAAAGAGTGTTTAGCTTTACTTTAGCAATGACTCATTTGTATAGTCGTTTTATGTCTTTTTGTAACACTTTGTGGAAGTTGATTTTTATGGAAGATGTTCTTTTTCTTTTCACAGAGGTTTTTGTGAATCTGTGAGTGCATCCTATTGTTTTTAAGGGAGATAAATAACACAATTTCTCTGTGAAAAATGAGGAAGACTGTTGTTTTTAAAAAGTGATGTAATTTGTGTGTGTGTGTGTGCGCGCGTTATGGCATTTTTCAACTGAACGAAGCTGCAAAAATTCTTAAGGAAGGAAATGATATATGGCTTTTAACTGGGTAAGATTATGAAGCCAATCAGATCTGCATGGCTAGGCTGTGGTTTTTAATAGTTCTGGTTGGTACCACAGTTGTTTCGGAGATCAAACTCTATCCTATAAATCCTAAACAATTCTTGGCGCTTTAAATACATACATATATATTCTAAATGGGACCTTAAAACCAGCTCTGCTCTTAGTCTTTGGAATAATCTTGTTATATTAAAAGTCACTTTTTAATACAGACTTGGTCCCATGTTGTCTGTCCAGGTGAACACACAGCTCCACTACTTTATTCTCCCCGCAGTCCGCTGGTTGGTGTTTGGCCCCGGGGACCACGTCATGACCGTCTCGTCAGCCTTTTCTCCCATCAGCCCTGCAGCCAGGCAGACTGTCAGCAGCACAATTAAGGGCTGTGCCATAATGAAAGGGGCATTAGCAGAAGCAATTTATTTCTCAGCGCAGTGCCGGAAGGTTTCTCCAGCGCTGATATTCCAGTGCAGGCTTTGTGTGCTCTACTCAGCCATTAAGGGAGGGATAAGGAGGACACACACTAGCTGAACAAATGAAGTAGGGGGGGAGCATCAAAGCATAAGGCCACATTTCACCATTCTTGAAAATCAATTCTGATTTGAATATTTTTACTAATATACTTGTGTGTTTTCATTTTTTTTCTTAACTATTTCATAAATGCACGTTCTGTTTGTGCTTTGGCCCCTCTTGGATTTTTCCCGTTTTCTCGTCTCCCACCTTTGCCTCTCTTCTCTGCTCAGTTGTGCACCCCCACCACCAGCGCCCCTTTCTCCATTATTCCTGTGTTCATTTTGTTCCTCTGAAGTTTATTGAATTAACGGAGACAGCTGAAACGCAGAAGATAAGAGAGGCGCTCAGTGCTCCTCTCAGAGAAATGGTATTGCAGCGTGGATGAGTGAGCGGTGTGTTTGTGTGCGACTCTTACAGCAGGGGGAGGGGAGCTGATGCAGAGGTTATAGACAGAGGAAATGGGGAGCATTGTGTGTTGATGTTTCTCCTGAAAGGGCGATAAAGGGAGTTTGAGAGTGGTGAAAAAGTAGTCTTGTTGTTGTCTTCAGTTTCATTGTTTGCCTGAGCTTTCCATTTCTTTTTGCAAAGTCGACACGTAATCAAATTTCTCTTTATATTCTAAAAAAAATGAAGTGCATTATCATTTGTCAGCTGCTATGATTTTTTTTCTTATGTCGTTCTACCGCACACTGCTCAGTTTACAATCAAAACAACTTTTGTGACCAACGGCATGATACTCACTAATAAACCAGTGTAAACATCACGTTGTTTTCAGTTGGTTCTTCTTCTTGGAAAGCGTTATGGGCTGCAACAGAAAAAAATTATGTAAAAAAAAAAAAAAAAAGGTAAAAATGTTTTCTTCAAATGACAAATTAATGTTTGAGAAACTGAACCCAATCAGAGCTTTAGCCTTTTGCTTGAGTGGTTAATATAAATTGCTGATACCTTTTCAAATTAACAGCTAATTGATTATTGGAAACATCTTTTTAGTAGTACCAGAATCGGACATAACATTTTCAGACAGTAATTCAATCCTGCAGTTTCCCCTTTAATGTGGTTCTGTACCGCAAACCTCTGCCCTCTTCCTGTTTCCTACAGATTTCCCCAGCACTTGAAGCAAGATGTCCTGAAAAGTCTATTTGCTTATTTTAATTTTGATGTCACATGGGAACATTTTAGCACTGAGTATAAACGTTTAATCAGTTAAAACAAATATTAAAATAAATATTTTAGAGTCAAGCGGACATGAGATGCGTCTTTCAGCTGGTCAGTGAATCACTGAGTATACAAGTCGTGATCCTCTGTATCATGTATGGATAGGCTGACAGGTTTCGGTTAATTTGCAGACTATTTCCACATTTTCCTTTTGACCCTGGAGGTTTTAGATAACTCCACTCCACTGGTGGTCTCCATTGATTAATGGGACAACTCCATTAACAACTAAGAAACAGGAAGAGGCTAATCCTTTGGTAGCAGGTGGTAGCAGGTATAAAGTATATGGGCAGCTGAGACGGAAACAAGGGGACAGCTCAGATGTCATTAGCTTTGCTGGTGTGGAGCAGATTCCAAATCAAAGCCTATTGCACCATATTGATACCTGTGGTTTTCAGATTTCAGGCATGCTCATTCTTTGCTAGACTAACTTGCTAAGTGAAGTTCATCCATTTATTTATCCATCTTCTTAACCGCTTATCCAACTAAGGGTCACAGTGGAGCTGGAGAATGTCCCAGGAGTCACTGGGTGAGCAGCAGGGTACACCAAGGATAGGTCACCAGTACATTAAGTTCATACATAATGTATTGTATGCATAATTAGGGCTGCTCAATTAATCGAATTTTAATCACGATTACGATCTGGGCTTTCAACGATCATTAAAAATGACTGAGCCGATTATTAGCCCCTCCTTCATTTATCCGCGACACCTTAAAGGCCGGTCCGTGAAAATATTGTCGGGCATAAACCGGTCCGTGGCGCAAAAAAGGTTTGAGACCGCTGATTAAGAGGACCCGAGGGAAGCTCAGAAAGCTAAGCAGAAGTTATTTGGAGAGGAGAGTGACTGCCTTGGCTGAAAAGACAGGTTAAAAAAAACTTCAGTGGTGTTGCACACTATTTTATATTATCATTGTAACCCTTTAAAGCCGGTCAGAGCAGCACGCTCCGTTTTGTGTAACTATTTTTTAAATCCCTGTAGAACCTTAACCGCGTAAGCTAGCACAATAATTTGTTTTGCATATGAAACCGGAGGAGTTGTACTTACATCTTATGCCATCAGCTTGTCCTCGGTCACGGTTTCCTTCCACATAAAGCTTTGCAAAAATTGCATAAAAAGCGCTTGCAGGAACAAAAACATAATATTCCAGAAACACGTTTTGCCGATCCGATCAGCTGTTCGTAACACTTCCCACAGTGAAACAGACGTCAGGGCGAACTATCACATGTCCGCCATTTCCTGGCCGAAACCGGAAGTGACGTCATTTTCGCGGAAATTGTAGTTTTTTACTTGTAGGCCTTAAAAATCTATACTGGTCATGTTTGACTTTTCTGAATAGTTTCTGGGATGCTTAGAACTCGAATTGCACTGCTGGAAATAGTTTACTTTGATGCACATGCTGTTTTCTTTGCAAATTTGCATCATAGGATTGTTTTTTCGTTTTTCCTGCAGTGTATATAAAAATTGGTGTATCTCCAAAATAAAACTATGAAGACACTCAAAATAAATTTCCTGTTATTGTAAACTATTTTTTGCAACTTTTTTGTATTTAAAGCTTTGTGGGATAAGCCTCTTAAATTTCTCCAAGTAGAAATATATGTAAAAAAACAAAAACGATTTTCAATTTTTTTGTAGTTTATTGCACTTTTTTGCAATTAATGTAGTTACTATGGACTTAATGCATACATATTATTAAAATATGGACTACAACAGTTGTATAGCAACTTGAA